CCCCCCCAGTCCCCCTTTGCTAACAACTACACTTGACTTTATGGTTTCTTGTTTCTTTCTATTTATATATAGCTTAGAGTATCGTTTCCTACAGTCTTTACTTTGCAGCACTGCTGGTGTCCAAATAAACAAACTTGACTGACCTTGCTGTATCTATTTTCTGACATCACCCCACCTACTCAACGTCTACCTCAGAACTCGTTGCGTGTATACACGAAGGATCCCTAGTACTGTCCTCACCTAGTGTGTGCAAATAGTCTTAATATGTCTGTTTTTATGGGATTCATCTAGGAGTACATCTGAGCGTCCTTGGGATCGGTTATGCAGTAGATTCATCAGATCACGAAACGCCAACCGAAGCATTGAAATGTATTTTCGATTCGAGCAAATTACTTAAGGTAATAACTTAAAAAAAGTACTTGTTTTTAAAGCTGACTTGCGATTTGCCACACTTGCATCAACCTGATCTTCACTATATTTTTAATACGGCAACCTAAGCAAAGAAAGAGAATAGGAGCTGTCCGCAGTACGGGTGTTTTCCCTTAGGGGTTAACTCTAAGGTTAGGGATAATTTTAGATGTTCGGTGAGTAATACGGCGTAAGGGTTAAGATTGGGGATACGGTTTAGGTTTTTGCTAGGGCATTATGCCTTAGGCCACATTTAGTACTTTGGACGGCATTCCTTTTCCCATGTACGGTTTTGGAAGCCCTGCGAAATGTCCCTACCGAATATTTTGAAGGGCACAGCGGGTGGATTGTTCATTTCGGGTTGCCCTAGCCAGCATTTGCGGACATGGGCGCATGTTTGGACAGTTAATTGAGCAAAAGAGTTGTCAATTTCAAGGAAAGACGTTCTTGGGGAAATAAGGTTACCTTATTGAGTAAAGTTTAGACGCTGGATCCCCAGGTCGTCATCAGATTTGAGAACGTGTGCTAGTACAATTATATAGTCGATTCGAGTAAATTACTTAAGGTACTAACTTAAAAAAGGTAATTGTTAAAGCTGACTTGCTATTTCATACACTTGCTTCCTCCTGATTTTCAGTGTATTTTTTTAACGAAAGCCTAGACAAGACGACACACAAGAGCCACCCGCAATACGGTTTTTTTCACTCTTTTTAATGAAATAAGGGTCGAGGGCGTAATAGCAGGATTGCCTGAACGGATTGAAGTAGAAACGACCCGTCTGCAAATTCAAATACTACGCCAAACAAAATGAATACGCATAATTACGCCTACTGAAATTCATGTTGAAGTTATTTCAGTAGTAACAGCCTTTTACCGGGATTAGCTTTGAGGGCTAGGAATAAGTTTAGATGTGGTGTTTAATGCGACGTAAGGGGTTACGATTAGGGATAACGCTTAATTTTTTTTACCAGGGTATTAAGCGATGCGTCATGCTGAGTACTTTGGTGGGTCACTCCCATTCTCGTGTACAGTTTAGGAGGCCCTGCGAAAAGCCTCCTATCGAAGGGCAGCGGGCGGATTGTTCATTTTGGTGTCGCTCTAACATGCAATTTCGGACAAGGGCGTATATTTGGACGGTAGGTTGAGCAAAATAACAGTGAGATGATGTGCATGGCGCGGATTAGTTCAACGCCTCATTCCTGACTAACAGGCTTTATGGAGCACGGCCAGTCCATATTTTGTAGACGTGGCAGCATGTTTTACTTAGCCTGTACCCTAAGTTGCGAAAAATTACAAACTGAACCCACGTGTGCAGTGACTGCAGTGAAAACGGCTCATATGGCATATCTTTTTACACTCAAGTGTGGCAGCAATTTCAGCGGCCACACTTGGTTAGGCTATCTCTGGCTAACGACGGCTATTGAGCCAGAAATGGCCATCCTAGCGTTCCCTGTCGTCGGTAATATCTTAACATAAAAAGTATGTTACGGAAATTAATGAAGTGACATTACAATATGTCGGCTTGCGAAACACAATGGCAATGGCATCAACCAAGGTGGATACGTCCCGAAAAACAGATTAGTGTGTGGTTACGTACCACTATGTTTAATGTAGTGCTGATCATCGTATACCTAATCACGTCGGGATGCCTGACTTTTAGCGGTCTTCTCTTCGCTACCTGCAAAAACAATACTGTAAAAACTGTCCACTTAAGTAATGTGCATTTTCTCATTGATTTCCATATCCTTTTTGTATATGAAACGTATATTAAATGGAAGACATGCATGAGAATACTCAAGACAAACGAAATTCGAGTGTGGCGGCAATTTCAACGGCTACACTAGAGTTGGCTACTCCTAGCTGATGACGGCCAATAAGTCAGAAATAGCCATTCTAGGATTGCCTCTGCCTTTGCCGTAATACTACTAGTATAACATGTAAGAGATGAATTACTGACAGTTAACTAGTAACGTATAAATTAATAGCCTTGCGATAACACAGAATCGGTTGGTCCGAACTGGCAGGCATCAATCCAGGATGGGTATATCCTGAAAGACAGATTGGGGTACAATCAACTCCCGATCAACAACCGGCAAGACAGCGAACTTGGTGGCTCAATGGTTAGGACGTTTGCCCCTGACCGGCGAGACGCGAGTTCGAAAC